AGAAATTATCATCATTCCAGTCTTCTAAGGAACTTGATAATTCATGTAGTAATCAAGTTTAAAATGTTGGATAAACTAATTATTTAGAAATTATCATCATTCCAGTCTTCTAAGGAACTTGATAATTCATGTAGTAATCAAGTTTAAAATATTGGATAAACTAATTATTTAGAAATTATCATCATTCCAGTCTTCTAAGGAACTTGATAATTCATGTAGTAATCAAGTTTAAAATGTTGGATAAAGTAATTATTCAGAAATTACCATCACTCCAGTCTTCTAAGGAACTTGATAATTCATGTAGTAATCAAGTTTGAAATGTTGGAACTTGATAATTCATGTAGTAATAAAGTTTAAAATGTTGGATAAACTAATTATTTAGAAATTATCATCATTCCCCAAAAGATAGTCGAAATCTAATCTTTGTTAAGGAATCAGTGTAACGGTAGCCAAATTTTGACCACTGTTTAACAAATCGGAGAATGGGACAAATTGTGACGTATGTTGCATTTTACAAGCCTGTCCAATTATTCTTTCTCCCAGTCAGTCATCAAAGTTTCAGAGTAACAGTTTTTTTCTTTCAGCAGAAATAATTCATTTTAATTGCATCTGTTGATAAGTAATGATGAAAGTAACTTTGTTTTTAATTTTCACACAAAGCAACTCGACGGTTACCTGACCCATCTATCTCTAATTTTGAAGTGATAAACTAGAGGAAAGGCAGCCACTACCCACCACTAACTCTTGGGCTACTTTTTACCAACGAAAAGTGAGATTGACTGTCACCTTATAACACCCCATGACTGAAATGGCGAGGACGTTATAGGATTTGTTCACGTTGCCCCTTTGATAGTTCTTAAAGTTTGGTAGCGATAAAGTATACTAGAAGTACATTTAAAATTTATTTGTTGTTTACAGGCTTGTAAATGCTGAAAGATAACCATATTAGAATTAGTAATTAATTTCAAAACTTCTCTGTTTGTCACTTTGTTGTTATAGAACCTTTGCTAAGTTCCTATGTTGTATGAGATACGGCAGTATGCTTTACTGTTATCTAATTATTAAATTTATTCTGTGCTAAATCTGGAACACCTTTTTTGCCATTTTTCAGACTTGGACTAGGTAATATCCAAATACAGTTCATAAATGCTTTAGAGATTTATCTTTTTTATCTCCTTATCATTTAAGCAACCGTACAAGGCCTAGTTGAAAGAAAAAAGAAGGGGAGGGTTCTCACGAGAATAAACATTAAAATATCATAAAGGTGAATATATATATATATATATATTTTTTATCTGGTCTGCCAAATCCAATTGAGAAACGAATGCTCATTTACAGACCGTGCAACGAGGGTAAGAACGTAGATTAACTTTTTATAGTTAATTGCTACTCAGTATTTATAATATATTATTTATGACAAAGCTACTGAGGCTATCTACCTTCTCCCCCAATTTTGACATGTACTCTTATAACGCAACCACAGCTTAAAGTACGAGGAATATTTTGTGGTGTCGCACAGATTCAAACCCGGCTCGGCAGGTTCGAAATCCAGAACTTTACAATAGAACCAACTCACGTCCTATAGTAAATAACAACACACTTTTTACTGATTGGAAAAGAAGTTAAAAAGCAAAACATGTGACCATGAGGTTATAAAACCACTCGAATGCGCTTGAGAACCAACAAATCAACTTTACCTAACCTAATGATATTTTGTATACCTTATATCTTCATTTAGTGATGCTTGTAATACATTAATGCAGAATATTATGACATTAATAGCTTATGTTTTAAATTGTATTATAATAACCAACCAGTTGTTATAAAAGAAACTATAATATCTTCAGGAACGAATATAATTTTTGTGATATTCGGACATTTTATTTTACTGGGTTATTGGAATAAAATACTCGTGTATTTTCCGTTTTCTTTTGTAAAACTTATTTATTGCTAATGTTGTATAAAAACAGTGTAAAAGCTTGAGAAATCTGATAGTGAAAAGTAACAGGGGTATAAGTTAACTCAGTACTGCTATTACATATCGTTATGGTTGGTTGTGAAAGACATTTTGACGACTAATGTAACAGGTACGACGGGATTATGAAATTCTATAAAATACTTAAAACTGAGTCATAACGAAGTAAGAATCACACATATAATATTGCTGTAAAAAAATTTGTTAGTATTATTGGCACAGCACTTCTTAATGAAATTTGATAACGTATTCGAACCCATGAATCTAACATTTGTAAAAGCAGCAACAAATAAACACGAATTTTGCATAAGTACCGATGCTGAAACGTGTGTCAAAATATGCAATTGCTCTTAACTCAAAATTAAATCATAAGCTAATTGGTATACTTACAATTCACGTTAAAAATAAACGAAATAATTTTATTTTATTTTTTTACGTAGAGTTGTTGATTATGTTTTGATTGAAAACTCTGAAAGATATATTGTCAAAATGAGAAAACTTTACCCTAACGATTTTTATTTTATCTATGTATATATAGATGAGCTTAATAACATAAAGTAAAGCGAGACGATCCCTAAACTGTAATAGCCAGTGGACACCAACCTTGTTCTGACTCTTACCGATCAAAAACAACTTTTAATCATTGTAATCAACTGCCGGTCAACTTCTGTAGAAAACAGAATTTCGCGCAAAGCTACTCAAAACCCATCATCGTTAGCCGTCCCTAACTTTGAATATATGCCACCCACCGCTATTTCTTGGGCTACTTTAATCGAATAGTGGGATTTGACCGTCATTGTTATGACGCCTTTACAGTCCCAAAATGCCGAGCACGATTTTTTTTCACGCTAAACACTAATTGAGCTCTATTGATTTCTAACATACTGATATTTATGTAAAAACAAATAAAAGCGCAGTATTAGTATACGTGCTAAGTTAGTTTATTTCATTAAAAAAAAAATCATCGCATTAATCATTATAATATTTCATATACACGTAAATAGGTTTCATTTTAATGTTCATTTTTATGGTTTGGTACAATTAAACTTGATCTATACATCCAAGTATCGATATGCAATTTTAGTGAAAAATTTAATAAAAACACCATTCCTAGGCAAAATAGCTGTTTCCTCGTCTAAGTTTGAATTAAAATTGGACGAGATATTATGGCAACAATGCATTGTACTCATTGCCGTCTTTATTGTCAAACTGATGTTCATACATACAATGTAATATTGTCCTAATTATTAGCATACATTGTTATATTAACAACAAACCGTTGTTTTACGATTTTCATCGCAACAATTAATTCGAATAATTCAGCGCCCTCTATTTCACTACTCCGATAGATGGCAGAATCTAATTGAATTAGCTGAGTTATGTAACTTACAAGTATTTCCGTTCCTGGTCAAAATTCTCTACACCCAACTCAAAATATCATATGAAAAGTCACACAAAAACCTCTGTATTACAATTAAACCTAAAAAAAAAAAAAAAAAAAGTGGAAAATATTTATTACCCAAATTAAGGTAAATTCTAAATAGATGTTTTAATGTTATAAATGTGTCTATATGAATATATATAATAATTAAACATTGAGGTTTTAAACATATTTAAAAGTTGTAGAAAAAATATATCGATGATAATGATGGATAAGTAGTGTGCCAGGCACTGTTGCCATGAGACAATGTTACGATTCTAAAGTTCGTAAGATAGCTAAAACTTTGGTGTCCAAAAAAATAAAATAAAATGCGAAATTTAATGGTGAAAAAATATATATGCATGTTTGTTTATATAAAATAATGAATCAAAAGCCTATAACCCGAGCGCTTTCGAAAGGTCCATAAAGAAACTATACTCGTGCGCATGTGGACAAGTATGTATATAATCACCGCATCTTTCATTTATTCCCTTCGATGGGTGGTGCCAAGCCAATAGATGACTTCATTTTTGTGTCTTCCTTTGATGGTCGATAAGTGACAGAGACATTATTCTGATATTGTGGTCATGACTGTTGAAATGTTTAGCTGCAGGTTTGTCTGCATCACAATTCTGGATGTATCCACGTTCTCGTTCAGACGATATTTGGCCCATTTCTCTTACTTATAGATTTCCAAAATGTAAATAAGTAATGCAATAAACTAAGCAGGTGTACAGGTATGAACAGTTGTTGATTGTATAATTATTTATCTTCAATGTGGTACGTGTTGCTGTTCACGATACAACACATCATCACATCAACACCAGCACTTGGATCTAACTCCACTCACGTAATGTTTTTGAACAAATAACAATTATGTCTTAAAGTAAGATTATAGGAAACAAGAGGGAATCCTCAGCAGCCGCGGTATTGAAATTCATTTAGGCAAGATTAGAGTAAATTAATCTAGGCGGCTTTTTCTTCTTCTTTTTATTAGCTATATTTTAGTGTGCCAGGAATACCAAGCGTGGGGCGCACGTATATATTCGATTCGATTTTATTGCTCGTTAAGATCTCTACTAGCCTACCCTCAAATTGAAATTCTTTTAGACAGGATTAGAGTAAATTAGTCTACGAGACTTTGAGCGTGGTCAAATAAATCAATCGAAAGGGTTTGACCTCCTGAATTCAAAACTGTAATTACATCTCAAATCGGCCAAGAGATGACAGAGCTATGAGCTAAAAGTTTGAACTTGAAAAACAAAAACAAACTCGGAGACATTCTATGAGCCGTTATATACGTATATCTTTAATTTATTCCCTTCGATGAGTGGTGCCAAGCCAATAGATGACTTCATTTTCGCGGTTTTGTGTCTTCCTTTGATGGTCGTGAGTTAACTTAGAATATTTGAAAATTACATAAGGGCTTAATCAGTTTTGAACTGATCACCAAAGGGAGGAAGGTCAAAATCCCCACAACCAGCTTTTGAGATAATTATTGTCTGACCAAATAGTGGAATTAGGCGGAAAATCTTATAATGTATTCACGGTTACAAAATGCGATACACGATTTTTACATATATATATATTTTGCAGTACACTAGGCCATTCTGATTTTGCCACTATAGGTGAAAGAAAAAATGTCACCTTCAAGTCAAAAACAACTTATGTTAAATGAAGTGAAGATAGTATAAAAATAATAGTTAAATGTTCTTTCATGGTAGATTAGATAAACGGATATTCAAAGAAAAAAAGTTTTATCGGTTTTCACGCTTTCCAGACTGATGAAAAAGATTTCGATTTGTTTAGTCAAGGCTTAACAGGTGAGTAAAACCATCAATTACAAAACACCGTATAAAACATGAAAAGTTTGTACTAGAAGAGACAAAATCAATAGAAAAAAAACAACTGTAAAAGATAACACTAAAAATAAAAGGACAACATATGCTTTGGCTGAAAGGCAAAAAACATTTAAGATACATGAAAGGGTAATCAGTTTCTCGATATTAAAATTTGCTTGAAACTATGCGAGACATTTATTACGCATACTTTTAGAAGTGTTAAATTGTATAAATAAATTGGCAAATAATCATTGCTATTAATATGTAACTAGAAAGTAATACTTAAGTAATGCCAAAATAATAAGAAACAATAACAACGCACAAGACAAAAATTTTGTGTTCATTCAGTACGATTATCAGAATATGATAAGCCCAATTGTGTAGAATATTTTAGTTAAACTTACCCTAAATTTTAAACTTTTGGGTATGACCCCCAAAATAAAAACACTTCATTATGCTTATAAATTGTTGTTTGACAGTTTACTATTAGGTTGAATTATTTAGCCCACCAGTGGCACAGCTGTATTGTCTGCGGACTTATATCGCTAGAAACCGGGTTTCGATACCCGTAGTAGGCAGAACAGGGATAGCACATTGTGTAGCTTTGCGGTTAACTACAAACAAACAATAAACTATTTATTGTTATAGAAGGACATTTCGAAGATAACTATGAAGTTTCACTAATGTACGCGAATCTTGAACTTTTTGTAATGCATATTTTTTGTCTCACCAAAAATATTTGATATGATAAAGGAGCCAGAATAATCGTAACTTGTGTTCTATGCAAATTACATGAAAATCTGTTAGACAGTTTCTGGGAATATTTATTTGTTTGTCGTTTGCCCACCACCAGTATCAAAACCTGGTTATTAGCGTTATAAGCCTTCAGGCTTACTGCTGAGCCACTTGTCTTCTGGGAACGAAGAAGAAAGAAAAACAAAATAATTACCCGAAAATTGTTTTGCTTTACGGAGTTTTTTTTAATGTATAACTTCTATTCATTGAATATCTTTACCTTTTTTCTGTTAATATAACACATAGGCAGAAAATATATTTATTAACTTTGTTTTTATTGTACGAATAGAACTTTGTTTCTATCTTCTATTTTTACAATCGCACGAAGTTAATTCGCTTCCTGAAGCCGTGAGTAATTCGAAAGTAAGAGTTTATTTCAAAAATCACGAAAGGTGGACAAACCTAATAAAATAATGATTTCCACTTGATGCTTAATTCTTTTACAAGTTTTACTTTTTATTTTACAACAAGGTAGTAGTTTCGTATGGTGTGTATCGGGGGAGTAGGACTGGCGTCCTAGTCTGGACACATGGCGAGTATGTTTGGTATGACGGGGATTCGAACCCGCGATATGCAGAATGCGAGTCGAGCGCTTTAACCACCTGGTCATATTGGAACGCACGATCGTTATAAGTGGTTTTAAACTAATGTCTAATTTTTAAAAATAACGTATCATGATTAGACTGTTTGATATGTTTGGTCTTGTGGTGTAACTTTGACGGTGGACATAGTTAAACTTGTACACATAAAATCTTGTTTAATATGTTACTTGTTCATTTTAACTGCAAGAAGTATTTTACAAATATAATAACGTCTCCCCTTACGTACTTTATTTTTACACACTCATAAAACAGTTATAAAAAAATAAAATTTTTATGAAGAACGTCTCCGATTGATGATTTATTCTGAATTTTACGGTGGAAAGTTTAGATTTTTATGTTTCACAAGAATTCACACGCACGATCTCATCTTCATGTAGTGACAGTCTTACTCCAAAAAGTAACGTTTTTCTTTTCAATTGAAATAAGTTCTTAAAATAAAGATGTAGGAGCGAATTTAATTTTTTCATATAAATACTTTTTTTTGAAAAAAAAAACTCACCATTTGAATAACAACAGAAAGATCTATTTTTCCAGATTCATATAGCAGCGGAGGCCACACCTAAATATTAAAAAATAAGATTTATCTTGTTTTGTCGTTCAAAATGTTAGAATTTGTAACAGTTTCTACTGTATGACGTTCATCTTCACGTAAATACCAAGTTCGTAATTTAAAAAGGGTTATAACTTTAAATGTAGCACACTCTTTCTCACTATTTATGTGTAAGAAGAAACATTTCTTTAATATTCTCAGACAATTTAACCTTACTGCAGGCTTTGAAAGAAAAGGACAATTCGGCATTTTTGTGAAATGTAAAATAACAAATGATGTATAGGTTATATTTAATTGTTCATTAATGCGAATATTGCACATTATCAGCTTAAGCTATTATAAGTATATAAAGCATGCATTTAATATATATATACATACGTTCTATTTTAATTAATGTACCAGGTACTTTTATCTACCAAGTCTTACCTATATAAGAATGACAAACAAGTTTAGTCTTGTTATCACTGTACCTCGGCTTTGAAGCCGTGCGTTAAGGCAAGGAACTACACTGGATTCAGCTATTATGAATTTCAGCAAAACTTGTTAGAACATATTAAGAAATCAAGCTTCATGAAGGGCAATCAAAAACTCGTAAGAGCTGAAACTAAGGCATTATGTAAATTTCCACTGTCTTCTTACATCAAGTAGATGAAGGTCACGCTGAAATCCAATAATTGAAGTAATGCATCATTAAGCAATTATGGCAAGCCACTAGCGTCAAAACGACATGGGGAAGTAATGGAAAGTAATATTTTTGAACCTGGAAATTAGCCAACCGAGAAATCAGTAAGACATGGACGCTGCAAAAGGGAATAGTTTATAGTGCTGTCCTCGTGATCTTCCTAATTGTTTGCGTGGTGAGAGTAATCAGCAGAAGACGTGAAAAATGGACGCTTTTCTTGCTTGCATGAAGTCCTTTTTTAAGTCGTAGGCAGTAATCGAAGTAAATGATTTCACAACACTTTATTTATTAGAATAAATGGAAACTTGTCGTCGTCGTCGTCGCTCCATATGGAATAGACAGGGAAAAATAATTCATCCACTACCTCAGTGTGTTTTCTTTCACATGGTACGTCCTATTTGTCTAAAAATAGTGTAATTTAAATCATATATATTTAAGTTAAAATTCAAGGTTTTTCGGTGTTGTTAGTACCAAATAATAAAATTAATAAATATATGACCTATAAAATTCTTTAAATATTTAGAAAAAAATTGCAACTATCTTCAAAAACAATATTTTTATTCTAATGACAGTCAACAGGATTTAGGCCCAAGTTCTTCAACTAATTCACAACCACTATCTCCCTGTAGCGTGTGTCAAATAATTTGATATTTTCTTCGGTATTTTTTTTTCAACATGTAAGATGTACACAACATTATTTTATTGAACGAGATTTAATACTGAATTCATTTCTTTACAAAACCGATGTAATGATTATTTCTAAATAATTATTTCTTTTGTATTTTTAACTTAATTATTACATACTTTATTTAGTGCTTTAGGAAATTAATGTAATGATATTTCTACATAATTACTTATCCAACATTTTGAACTTGATTACTACATGAATTATCAAGTTCCAAAATTCCAAACTTGATTACTACATGAATGATCAAGTTCCAACATTTCAAACTTGATTACTACATGAATTATCCAGTTCCTTAGAAGACTGGAGTAATGATAATTTCTAAATAATTACATGATCCAACATTTTGCCATACAATGTGAAGAACACTATATATATATTTCGTATGGCAGCAAAAACTAATTGAAAAATTGTGGCACTATGTGTTCTGACTGTTCAAACTACTGGAAATGATGTAATGGTGTGGGGCATGATTTCGTTCCATGGGTTGAATCCTTTGATAATTCGAAAATGGAGAATAACATTCGTTCCTTAACTGAACGTTGTTATACAAATACATATTGCACCCATTTTGCCTAAACTGGCTTCAACAACACGACAGTCTCTTCAGTTGTCTTTGGCCAGCATAACCACTGCATCTCAAACCATCTTGGCATATTTAGGAAAAAAATGAAACATTGACTTTGCCATTATAATCCTTAGCCCAAATCTGTGATCAAACTTTGCACCTATATATATGTAATTTTTACATGTTTTCCACATCTGTCATTTGGCGTGTTTACATCAATATTGTAAAAGAGACACTTCACTTGATAATGCTATTTCCACCCGCAGATGGAATCATAGTTGGGTACTCTAGGCTTTTCCTCTTGTCATATATGGTATGGTCTTTTAGGATATTTTTTTCTCTTATTTTGAAGATACCTTAATTATAGCTTTTTTATTCTTGAAATTGTGTATGTGTTTTATCTGACTGAATATCATGTTCTTTATAATTAGTTATTATCATAGGTTGGCCTGAATAACTGGGCAATTTTTGGTTTAGTTTTTGACTGATTTTATTATTATTATTTACTTCTGTGACGAGCATGGTCCAATGGTTAGCGTGCCGGAATATCGATCTGTGGGTTCAGAGTTTGCGTTCCCTTACCTCAAAGAAAAACAAAAAAAAAACACCCTCTCTGTCTCTCTGCACTTTCGGGTTACGTGTATGTATTATAAGAGTAACGGTTTGATTTGTTTAGAATTTCGCGCAAAGCTAAACGAAGGCTATCTGCGCTAGCCGTCCCCAATTTAGCAGTGAAAGACTACATGGAGGAAAGCTAGTCATCACCACCCACCGCCAACTCTTGGGCTACTCTTTTACCAACGAATAGTGGGATTGACTGTCATATTATAACATCCCCACAGCTGAAAGGACGAGCATATTTGGTGGGACGGGGATTCGAACCCGCGACCCTTAGATTGCGAGTCAAGCGCCCTAATCACGTGGTTATGCCGGGCCAGGAGTGATGATCAACTTCCACTGATTGGTCAGAAAAAAGTTGACAGTGAATGCTGTTGACTAGATACATTCCCACTACTGTATCAGTTCTAAATTAGGGGCGGCTAGCGTAGATAAACCTTGAGTAGCTATGCGCGAATATCCAAAAACAAACGAACAAATACATTATTTGCTTTTAGAGATAAATGTCGTCTCGTTCAGTGTTCTCACCGATTTGCACTGTTTTAGACACATTTCTTTAAAATAATGGCAGAATATCTGCACTTATGAGTTGTCTATGCCACAAGATGCCACCTCAATTGGAGCTGTTAGAATGTCAACTCCAGAGCACTTACGTGTATATCCATAATAATTACTTGGACAACGAAGATATATATACACACCACCTAATATTTACATAATAAATGCATGTAAATTGCACCTGCTAAAGCCTGTGGTGATATCTGTGTTATACGAACGACAACATTTGTAAAATATTCACCTTTCTGTCTAATTCAAGTCACAAAAGTCTGCAAAACTGTTACTATTATTTCATTCTAAGTTTTTCTGTCTAGTTATTGTTCCTTTTACAAGAGTAGTCCGACGTTTTACTCTTGGAATTAAAAAATAATATAGATATTTTTGGTATTTTATTCGACGACACATAGCAATGCACAGTATAATTGGCACAGTCTAGCTCTTAAACATTAAATCATAAATCAACAACTTAGGTTTTCCGTAGTTCTTTTGGGCACACCAAAAATAATCTTCAATAAAATTGTAGAGTCGGTCACCACGTTTTCCCTCACTTATTAAAAATCCATCCACAACGATACCTATCTCCAATGCACTCTCGGAGCCATTTCAGTTTATGTATCACATTCATGCAATATGCGTAATTATAGAACGTCATAACATTTTCTTAATCTAAACATATTAAGTTTATATAAAATACACGTACTTGATAAAATGTACAAAATATGTTTAAAATAACAGGTAATTTCTCATTAATTGCACTGATATTGCATTATTTATTCACCAAATTAATATATAATTATTTTTTTTAGTTTTCAAGTAACATCTGCCACCAATGGCACAGCGGTATGTCTGTGACCTACAACGAGTTTCGATACCCGTGGTGGGCAGAGCACAGATAGTCAATTGTGTAGCTTTGTGCTTAACTACAAACATCCAATAACATATGTGCCTCTGAAGCCACACGTTATCAACAATAACTGTGTAGTAAGTATACTATTATCATCAAATTCTACATTCTTTAAACAGCTATTGGTCAATTTATTAGGATACCCCATCTGATATTTAATTGGGCTACCTGTAACAGTGATAATAGACTCAGCATGATTAAACTCAGTAATATGCTGTAGATGTGTTCGATTGTAATGCAGTTGTCGAAGAATAACAGGGGTTGGACAAAATAATGGAAACACCTAACATTTTGGAATCATAATCTTTGAACATGTTATAAACAATCAAAACTTGACATATTTTAATGTTTTATTGTTTATTATTGTTGCTATCTGATATTTTATTTAAATTAACTGTTTTTTACAGATATTTAAAAAAAATTTGGTAATAACCTTATAAAAATGGCAGACCTCTCTGACTTTCAAAGAGGCCAAATTGTTGGTGCTCGTATGGCAGGTGCTAGTGTAACA